AAATATGAGCAGTGCATTGGAGGAAGATTTTCTTCTGGGGGTTGAAGCCCTTCAGTAGCTCAGAGCCTACTGAGATAGGTTGTGAATTTTGCTTATTTTTTTTTTCAGGATTTGATTTATTGCAACTTCTAGGGGGATTTTTTTTTTCTTAATGGAAGTCCTGGGGATTGAACCCAGGACCTCATACATTCTAAGCATGCACTCCACCACTGAGCTATACTCCCACACCCATGAATTTTGTTTTAAATGTGAAGCAACAACGTGCTTTATTTGACAGTTTGGAGATTTCTCTCACGATATAATTTACTTAATTTCTTAACTCTAACTGCTTATTTATAAATTTCTTATAGGTGTTATCTATGTGGGCTTATCAATGACTGTTTTTAACTTGCTTATCTTATTCTTTTCAACTAAGGGTGGCAGCGAGATAAAAATGTGAAGAGTTAAAATCTCCAAGTCTCAAATCCCTGCATGCAAGAATTTACAGGGTAAATAAGGGAAAATTTAGAAGTAATCACAGTCAGGATAAAGATCAAGAGATATGATAAAAGTGACTATGCACTGTTGTTTCTGTTTTTTCTTTCATTTCAAGTCTTTGATTACAAGTCACTTATTAAACAGACAAAAAAACTTTATGTAGTAATTAGTTGTAGTGTTTTTTTAAACCCCAAAAGGCATCAGGCCATACTTCTTCAAGTCTGGGATTAGGGAGTGAGAGACCATGTATTAATAAGAATAGCAGAGAAGAGTCAGGGAGTCTATAAGTCTCTTTGGTGAGTTAATTCATCCCTCTGACTCTTGGTATATTGAAGATAATAAAGCCCATGGTGATATATTTTCCAAATATAGTCTGACTTCCTTCCAAACACAGAGTAAGACTGTAATTCCCCACCTTTTTTAACGTTAGGTGTGGCCACTTTTAGTCAATGAAATGTGAATTTCCCTGAAGGGATGACTGAAGAGTCAGTGGACAGTGACATCACCAAAATGGTGGAGTAATAAACCCCAGCTTTCATTTCCCCCACCACCCAAAAGACCAACAATTAGGCAGGTATTTGTGAACAAAAACTGCTCTAGGAGAGCTCAGGAGTCCACTTAAAAAACTTCAGCAACATAGTGGAAGAAAAGTCTTGAGAATAATCACAGAGAAAGGGGAGGAAGAATAGCTTCCTTTTGCCCACATCATCCCATCCTCCAAGCAGACACTGCTCAGCACTAAGGGAACTCCCAGCTAGACAGGGTTCCCTGGATAGGAAATGCAAAGTGAGGTGGGCGACCTATTTCTCCAGTCTTTCAAAAAAGAACCCACTTCAGTTTCACTCCACCCAGAGGCTAGCAAAGCTGGGACATACAGAGAAAACTAGGAATAAGGAAGCATGGCAAGGACTACCAATACCAGCTCCAGGAGTGACCACAGTTCCCAACAATTCTCTCTGCAGAAGACCTCAGCCCCTACTGCCACCAAAGAAACCAATGGCCAGCAGAGCTGCCAGGGACCGACTGTGGATTTCACTAGATTTCACCCCATAGGTTACTGCATTTGTAGATGCCAACCACCTGAGTCCCTCCCTACTCCTTCCCCCACCACCACCACAGCCTAGGACCTGCCAGCCCCAACCCCCGAGTTCTTTGGCTACACCCATACCAGACATCAGTCTAGATCCCCCATGGCTGACCTCAACCACCATGTACAGCTTGAGGTTAGTCCCTCCAGTTATGTACCTGCTTGGCTCTGGGCTACCCTGAAACACTGGCTTCCACTGCTATGCTTGCCCTGCGGCAAGACTCTGCAGCAACGGGCCAGGGGACCTGCAGTTAGCCCCACCCCTTACTGCTGACCCTGGCCCCTCACCACTATGCGTGTCTACTATCGGCCCCTGCCACTACACAGGCACCTACAGGTAATCTCCACAGCCAAGTATATCACATTGCCAACTCAGGTATTCCTGCAGCCTGCTCCTGTCTCTACTGTTGGACTTGGAGGGCACTGCTGAGGACACCAGCAGCCCTTGCAGCCACTCAAGTGGATCCTCAGAGAACTTACTGAGGATCACACAGTTGTAGATGTTGTGGACACCAGCGGCCTGAGCCATGGAGCCACCACACACCCCTGCACTTGGCACCCTGCACCCTGTGGCCTCAGCACATTCCATCATGCTCCCACCAATAGGCGAAGGTCTTTCTTTTCCAATGTTAGTTCATAAAGTCTAGAAGAGACGACTGCTTCTTCCAACCTGCAGACCCCTATGCAAGGCTACAGGGATTGTGAACAATCAGAGAAATAGGACACCATTAAAGGAACACAAAAATCTCTTAGTAACTGACCCTAAAGAAATGGAAATACATGGATTTCCCAACAAAGAATTTAAAAGAAACAGACTTGCAAACATAGTGAACAATCTTATGGTTACCAGGAAAAGGGGGTGGGAAAAGGGATGGGAAAGGATACATTTGAGAGTTTGAGATTTGCAAATATTAACCACTATATATAAAAATAGATGAAAAAACAAATTTCTTCTGTATAGCTCAGGGAACTATATTCAATTTCTCATAATAACCATTAATGAAACAGAATATGAAAATATATGTATATATATGAATGACTGGGACATTATGCTATACATCAGAAATTGACACAATGTAACTGACTATACTTCAATTAAAAATTTAAATACTTTAAAAATAAAATAAAATAATTGTTCTGAAGATGCTCAGAGAGCTACAAGGGAGCCCAGATAAACAACTTATGAAATCAGGAAAACAAGAACAAAATGAGAAGTTCAAAGAGATAGAAGACATTAAAAACCAAATGGAAATTTTGAACTGAAAAAATACAATGGCTGATCTGAAGAGTTCAATAGCAAAAGCCAAAGTTAGCAGAGGGGAGTAGATAAAGATCTGACCAGAAATAAAATGAAATACAGAATAGAAAAACAATAGAAAAAAATCAGTCACTAAGAGATGATTTTTTGAAATGATAAACAAAATTGACAAACCTTTAGCTAGACCATTCAAGAAAAAAGGAGAGAAGATTTAAATAAAAAAAATTATAAATGAAAGAGGAGATAAAACAACTTATACCACAGAAACATAAAGAATCACAAAAGACTTCTGTGAAAAATTACATGCCAGCAAATTGGATAACCTAGAAGAAACAAATAAATTATTTAAAAACACACAAACTACCAACACTGAATCATGAAGTAACAGAAAATCTGAACAGATCAATTACCAGTGAGGAGACTGAATTAGTAATCAAAAACCTCCCAACAAAGATAATCCCAGGATCAGATGACTTCAGAGGTGAAATCTACCAACATTTTAAAAAGAATTAACACCAATTCTTCTCACATTTTTCCAAATATTTGAAGAGGAAGAAATACCCCCAAGCTGATTTTATATACCAGCATTACTCTGACACCAAAGCCAGACAAGAACAGTAGAAAAGAAAACTACAGGCTAATATTCCTAATGAGAGCCGGTATAAAAATGCTCAGGGAAATACAAAAAAATGAAACTCAGCAGCACATTAAAAGGATTATTCACCATAATCAAGTGGGATTCATCTCTGGGAGGCAAGGATAGTTCAACATATACAAATCAATGTGATACATCACACTAAAAGAATGAAAGACAAAAAGTCGTATTGTCATCTCAACAGATGAAGAAAAATTGTAAGACAGAAGTCAACACCTTTCATAATAAAATCTTTACCATGTTAAGTGAAATAAGTCAGACCGAGAAAGACAAATACTATATGATTTCACTTATATATGGAGTCTGAAAACATTGAACTCACAGAAACAAAATGGATAAATGGTTACCAGGAGATGGAGAGTTGGGAAATGTGGACATGTTGGTCAAAGGGCACAAACTATCAGCTGTAAGTTCATTAAGTTCCAGTTATCTAATGTGAAACATGATGACAGTTAACATACTTAAAAGTTGCTATTAAAGAACACTTAAATGTTCTCAACATAGTAAGAACAACAAAAAAAATCAAATTATGTGAGATGAAGATATTAGCTAACCTTATTTTGGTGAACATTTGATACATGTAACATATATATATATGTATCCAATCATCATGTTGTAAACATTAAACTTATAGGATGCTATATGTCAGTTATATATCAATAAACCTCAAGGGATACAAAGAGCCAGGGGACAGTTCTTTCTGTTCTCCATCCCGTTTTGGTGATTGTCAAACTTCCTCCATTGGTATGGGTCCCTGAATAGGTGCAGAGCATCCCTACCGACCCATGTTGGTTATGCAGTGCAAACAAGAAACATCTTTTGTTGCATTAAGCCACTGTGCTTAAGCTGCTCACCACAAGGATCAAATCACACAGCATGTTATGTTTGAATACTGCATAACACATAATAGAAGCACATAAATAGGTGTTTCCTTTATTCTAGCCACAAATGTTTAATTTTGTTCAAACACTGTCTTAATTTTCCCATGTGTAAAGTTGAAATAATAACGTCTATATTACCCAATTCAAATGTGTACCATGAAGCTCAATTAGCTGATTATTTCCATCAATTCAGCATTCAGCTATTTTTATTTTCATATTTATTTCTCTCCAGTCTAACTGTTTCAGGGCTCAGTATTGTCACTGATAAAATGTTCTCTTCAACATGTTTTAGAAAAAGTATCCTTCTTGAGTTATTAAAAATTACTGATTTTTTCAGTTGCATTTCTTTACACTAACGATAAATCAACAGAAAAAGAAAGTAAAGAAACAATCCCCTTTAAAATAGCACCCAAAGTAATAAAATATCTGGGAATAAATCTAACCAAGGAGGTGAAAGAATTATACCCAGAAAACTGTAAACCATTGATGAAGGAAATTAAAGAAGACTTTAAAAAATGGAAAGATATTCCATGCTCTTGGATTGGAAGAATCAATATTGTTAAAATGGTCACACTGCCCAAGGCAATCTACAGATTTAATGCAATCCCTATCCAAATACCCAGGACATATTTCACAGAACTAGAACAAATCATAATAAAATTTATATGGAACCATCAAAGACCTAGAATTGCTAAAGCATTACTGAAGAGAAAGAAAGAGGCTGGAGGAATAACTCTCCCAGACTTCAGACAATACTATAGAGCTACAGTCATCAAGACAGCATGGTATTGGTACCAAAACAGACATATGGACCAATGGAACAGAATAGAGAGCCCAGAAATGAACCCACAAACCTTTGGTCAACT